GCACAATTCTGCCATCTAGCCACTATCACCCTCCTCCACATTCTACCATCTTCTCTCAAGAATCTCCACAGCCATTTTCCTTGCAGCACTTTATTGAAATCAGCCAGTGATCGAATTCCTACTCCGCCCGCCTGTATGTGTTAGTGCCAAAGTCAAAGAACGACTTTGACTTTTACATCAAATTATGTAGAAATCATTTTGTGGAATGACTTAAAATAGGAAGAGACTGCTTTTTGTGCACAGCAGATGACCCAGGTCATTCTCTAGCAACAGTCAATGAAGTGAAAAACCACCTATAACAAGGTCATGACAAAGTTTTAGCGAGACCCACACATCTAGTGAATGATCATAAAAAAGAATAGAACTTTTATTATTGAAAATAAGATAAGAGGTTCTTGTATGTTTTGCAAACTGATATGGATCAATGACTAACAATTTTGAATTGCAATTGTTTGGATATACTAAGATAAATGATTTTTAAAATTGCAAATAATGGGTGGCCTAATGTCCTATGCAATTAGACAACTTGTTGATTGTTAGATGTTGATTCCTCAACCATAGTTCTGATACTTGGAGAGATAAAAAAATTGTCAACTGCCACTAACCCAAAGTTACCATAACTAATCATATCCTTATTTTTCAGTTCATGACAAACACATAAGTAGGATAGAATTCGATTTTACAGTTAAGAGTAATTTTTTCAGGGCACTTAAAGACAATAAGTTATTAGGAAGAACATGCAGGAAATTAGATAATACAATGGAAACTGTACAGGCGATAGAACCTTTATGAATAATAGATGCTAAAGACTTGTCTATAGTATGAACTTTATCATCATTTATACATGGTGTATAGTTTTCAAGATTACCTAAAAAGCGTATCATATGGTCAGAATCTCCTAAATCTATAACCCACGTTTCACATTTTTTCAAATTGGCAAGAAACAACATACCTGACTTGGCAAAGTTAGAGCAAGTTATTGCAGATGACTGGGATTCGAGTTATGAAAAAAAGTCATTTCAAAAATTGTATCTTTTAATTGGACTAGCTCCCAGTATCAGAAACTTCTCTTGATATTGACGTTTCAATCGTCTTAGATAAGTTGGTTTTACTAACATGTGAAATTATTTCACTTACCTCCATGCCCTCAATTTAGCATGCCATTATGCTTCCAACACGTCTCTCTGGTATGTCACAGTCTCCCAAGTAATCACAAGTAACTGATCTTTGTCCTTGGTTACTGGTCTTTGGTTGTTCATAGGTGATGCCAGCAACTAATCATGCCTTGTTTATACTAGTAAGATGGATCATGGCACTTATACAACTGTTGAATAAGATACTTTATTATTATTTACTAAAATAAAAACTTTACTATAATAAAAATTTTATGTAATACGAATTCTATCAAAATAGGTAATTTCTTTATTAATAGTTTAAGAGTTTTATAACTACACTAAATGTAAGACCCTAAAGGGTGAGAAATAAATATTATATTTTTTCTTCAAAATCTACATGGTATTAAAGCAAAATAAGAGTATTTTGGAGTTTTACTTTTAGGGTTTCTTTCAAACCCTAAAACAACAAAAATAAGCGGAGTAGAAAGAAAGCCAAATCAGAAGGGAGAGAGCCAAATTTGGGAAGCCTCTGGTTACTGCGAGTCAGAGCTGCGCGAATTGCAGATCCAAGAGATTTTGCGAGTCAGAGCCGCGAGTCAACAAAGGAGAAAGGCGAACCCAGCCGCACACAGAGCCGTGCGATCAAGTTTCTTCTTCCTCCGTGCAAGGTATTGGTTCCATCCAGCTTTATCAGACCGATTTATAATGCCAAATTTTCTTCCAACACCTAAATCTTACTAGCACCAAACTCTGACCATATTTGTGTTCTGTTTCTCTCTATAAAAAAAAAATTATGATGTATGACCAATTACCTTTTTCTCTTTTTCTGTTCATAGAATCAAGTCTCTCTATACACAAATGAGACCCATAGTCAACCTTTTCTATCCACAAACAAGACTTATGCGGCATTATACGTGAGAAGCTTAAGTCCATCTTTTTTGGAATGCAACTTGGTTCCATAGACAGGGCTAACACACAATACATGGAAGAGGAGGGTTGGCATTGATCATTTTTTGTACATGACTCCATTTCAAAGACGCTAGCCACGATCAATATTTTGAACTCTAAACTCTTATACGAGAAAAATGACTGATGTTTCCAGAAAATATTTGCTTTACTTTTCCTAAAGCATCACCACACTGATAACGAACCTGAATGAGTCCAACTGTCTCTGATTGAGATTAACTGATGTTAAAGCAAGTCTATTATTGAGGGCAATAATCATGGGCTACGTTTATTTAAAAAATAATAATAATAATGGGCTACACTTTAATACCAAATTGAAACTAAAAGTAAAACCAGAGGAGAAGAAGATGTTTTATGCATATTCATATACCCACATATATACTAGTTACTACGCACAGAAGCAACTACATATGGTAACCAGAAAAAAAAAAGAAAATAATCAAGGGATTAACATCTTAATGAAAAAGACATACAAGAGGAAGGTAAAATATTTATGGTCTTTGATAGTATATTTTAAGTTTAATGGTAGATGGTCATATATACCATGTGCTAGAATTTAATTCATGGGCTCTTCAAGCTACATCACCACCAAAGTAATTATAATCAAATAGGTTCAAAGGAAGAGAGAAGGAGACAGACAGAGAGATAGATGGGGAGAGAGAGAAAGACAGAGAGAGAGAGGGAGGGAGAGAGAATGTGTGGAGGGCCATATTAATGGGAAGATAACATCTTTTGATAAGTGAATTGAAGGAGAAAGAAAAGGGGTTGCATGCGAAGCTGTACGGTAGTAGACTATCACGTTGGATAAATTCTAAGGCGGAAAATCCAAGTGAACATATGTTATTTATGCAAAAAAAAGAGCAGAGACATGTAACCACATCCTCTTTTGGTATCTGTTTGCTCACCAACTGTGAACGTTGTTTTATAGCTTGTTGGGCTGTTAATTGGGTTATAGCTGACATTGTGATGGAAGATTTTTGGACTTGGAATGACATCCATTGTGATAAGTAATCTTTAAACTTATCCCTCCAGTTACCTTTTAGGTTATTTAGAATGAGAGAAATAGGACTTTTAAAGTAATAGAGTTTTCCTTTAATAGATTTAAAGATACATGATTCCATACTCATAGGTTTTTTATTAATAAGCCAACAGCTAACTTTTAGTAAGGATCTAGGAACCTGATAGATATTGTGTTAGACATATAACTATTTTTATACACAGGTTGCAATCCCTTTCATTTTGGGGTGACAAAGGATTGTACTATTCGAGCAACCGGCTGTGGAAGCTTTTATTCGAGAGGGTGCTCTTGGCCCAACGAATATCACTTACTCTGGTATTTATCAGTGGTGGTATATATGGAAGATATTTATACTGGAGCTCTTTTTCTATTATTTCTTTCTGTCATATCCTTAATAGAAAGTTGATTATACTTCCAACCGAAATAGAAACCAAGTGTTAGTGAATAATCTTGCATTTATTGCTACTGCACTCTTCACTCTTGTTCCTACTGCTTTTTTACTCATAAATTACGTCAAAACAATCAGTTAATATACACTTTTTTATTCCAAAGAAAAAGAAAGGAGTTGCACCTAATAATAACTAGTTTGTTTATGTATTTAAGTGCATTTAGTATGATGTTATAGACTCCTTTGTGGGTCGTTCTTATTGCAGAAAAGGCAAATAAGGAGCTGATATGGTTTAGGTTTATCATATTTTGAAAATCTATCTATTAGTTAGTAAAGTTTATCTCTTATTTAGGAATTAATTTTTTTATTATATGGTTAAGATTTACCCTATTTTAGAAACATATCTCTTAGTTAGGAAAATTTATTTTTTATTTAGGAAATTAGTTTTTATTTTGGATATTTTATTTCAAACTAAAATTTATTTTGGAGACTTATCTCCTAATTTAGGAATCTCCTTTATTTTTGCTATGAGAAACCTAAATAATAAAGATTTCCTATAATGTAATGCATTTAATCTTATTTAAAGAATTCTATCATTAATAAAGAGATAAGTATAATTATAATTACAATGTAGAGATAGGAATTCTCTCTAACGAGGTCCAATGTGTCAAGCTCCCTTTGATGGGTTTGGAAATAATTCACAATAAATCGTTTAAGAAATCATAACGAGGGAAAGAAGAAAGATCTAGAATCAGATTATCCGACGAACATTACACATGACTAGGCATTCTTCAAATTACATATTAAGTATTAGTTGTTAGTAAGTTAAGAATAAGTTAAGGATAAAACAAGAAGGTAGTTACTAGACTCTAGATAACTTAAATAACTTCCAGAGTAACTATCTCTTTCTCCTTTTGATAAAACCCTATTGTTGTCCTTTGAACAGAATTTTGTATGAAGAAAAGTTTATCAACTTTTGAGCCTATACCTAGATCAAAATAGGTAAAGGAAGAAAAGCCCATAAATATTCGTAAATAGCAACTGAATTTTATGTTAATCGTCCTATAACTTGATATGTTCATAAGGCCCATAACAGAATGTTGAAAACAAAAAGGCAAACTCATGTCTTGTGCAATGAGTAAATAAGCACTTAGCAACAAATAATGGGGCAAAAATATTAAGGCCATTGAACATTAACGCAATATGGAGAAAATAAAAGTGAAAATTTCTTGACTTTGAAAAGATAAAAAAGTTATTTTAGTGGAACCTTCATGTACATGCTATAATACATGCATGTTTAATATATATATATATTTTTTACATGTATATACATACATACATATCTGGTATGTATATGCATAATATAAAATATACACACAAACTTATATGAAAATCGGAAAGTTTTTTAAGCTCTACCATGAGTAGGCTAGATGTTCTGTTAGCATTTTCAAAAGCACAACTATAAAAAACTCTAATATTTGGTAAATAATAGAAAAAAAGAAAAAGAACGCACAGAGAACTCATCAGGAGGAAATATGCGATGGACAAGGCATATTTTTGACAGCTCCAATACTGCTTCATCATGTTTACATTGCATTTCCAAAGCCTGCAGTAAGAAATAATGCATGAAACACAAGCTTTACAATGATATTTTTAACAGACGAAATCCCAAACTATCAAGACAATCCTAGATGTTAAATTTTCCCTACGCTGTATCTTTCTGTGAGATGAAAATATGGAAGGACAACCAGACTCTCACCCCGATGACACATAACATTCCTGAACATGGATAGCAAATGAAAATGGACTAGTTTGGACCTGTCTGCAATGCATTTTCTTTTCATCTTTTTTCCTTCTTCTTTTGGTTTATGCTTTCCTGCACTTTTTCGCTATTCTCAAATTCTTCTGTTATGCATTTGGTTCTAACAGTTGTCTAGAACTAGCAATATTAGAAATGGCATTTCAGAATCATAAAAGTTTTCTGACTCATGAAGTACTATAAACAAAAAAAAATCCAACTATCACAAAATGAAGTGTTTCTATTAACTTTACCTTTTTGAGTAATAAATTGAAACTTAAAAATTAGGAGCCTAGAGCATAAAACAAGTAATGAAATTCAACTGACCATCGCAAGATCCAGTTGGAACTGGGTTTCAGCATTGACTAAAATTTATGCTGTTTTAATTTACTTATTACTCCACCAACGTCAATGACAAGAATCATAAATGTAATTTTATAAATAATTACTGACAGAAGTCCTATGACAGAAAAAAATGTTTTGGGGTACCACTTGTAGCCTTATATAAGTGCCTAAGCAAGCAGCAAACAAGAATAGTTATTGATCCAAATGCAAGCACACATGAGGATGGCAGAATAATTACCCAAGCTTGCAGAAAACACGAACGCGTGCGTGCAGCAACAGCCGCAGATACCATTCTTGCAGCACGAATTTTTTCAAGCCCAATGTTCTCGGCAAGCCCAGCAATAAACTCTCGAGCATCTTCATAGTCAATCTCAACAGAGGTTGACTGGAAAGGTGCCCTGCTGAGTTCCTAAACAAATTAGAACCAAAGAAGAAAACTAGATATGAATAAAGACCACTGTCCAGAACCTAAGAAACAGTCTGAATTAACAAGCCCCACCTGCTGCAAACATTTAAAACAAACTCAACCGACGTGCGATAGAATGAATCTCTGGTGTTTATTGGGTCAATAGTGACTCCTACTCCAGCTATCCTGCAGACTCTACGTAGCTGCTGACCATACAGGCAAAAGAAGTCCAGTATATTACTGAATGATCAATTTTTGTAGCAAGAAAGTTTAGATCAAATCACAATGATTAAAAGTAACAATGATTTGTGCAAATTATAGCATAGAGCTCCTTGGCAACTTAAAATTTATTGCCTGAGTTCAATGTTCTCTTAACAAAGGTTAAAAAAGAACAAGTTCTGAGAAAGATGTTGATGACTTACAATATGATCATATAATTATTCCATATATTAAGTACTTTTTTAAAAAAAAAAAAGTTTACATCAATTAAGAGGCCGGCACAGAAGCAGGATATGAAGGCAATACTTATCTATAAAGACTGAAGCAAGGATCTATATTTTGCAAGGAAATATGGTCTGCCTGTTCTTTTTTAAATAAACCAACCAATACTCAATAAAATTACAAGCACTCTATCCCTCTAAAAACTTTAGTCTTGCACGTCTTCACTGTTCACGATTCACCATCTACAAAATTGATTGGCACATAATTTTTTCCCAACATGCTACTAAAATTTACACATC